GGGGGGAGGGAAAGGATGCGGATAGCGGGTACGGCGAGGGGCCAAGATGATATAGCCCGGACCATTGGACTGGATGGGCAAGGGGTCGGCTATGCATTGAGAGTGTCCAAGATGGCCTTTTGCGGCGTCGATGTCAGCACATGCTAGAAGCAATGCGCTTGGGGAGCGCCGAGGGAGTGGCGCCTCGGAACCTAAAGAAAGGTCTCCGTCGGCTCTGCTCGAAAGACGATGCACCATCTGCATTCAGCTGTCTTGCACGCCGAAAAGACAAAAGCCTTCGCATCATGGACCCACGGGACCAGCAGCGACCGTGGTCGACCGTGAGATTGTCGGGCTTCGCACGTCTGCATGGCGCCGAGGCCAAGCAAGCCAACTGCACTCGAAGCCAGCGCGGAGTGGCGGAGGCAAAGCTAGCGTTACGGACAGTCTCGACGAGAGGGGGCCGAGGACGTGGGCACGGCTGAGAAGATGCAGGGACACGCCCCAAGAGGGCTGCACAGAGTTGTACCGGTTGCACGGCAGCTTGACAGCCATGCAGCGGGATGGGTTGCCACCCGTTGAGCAGGCTCTCTCATGCAAGCCGCGACCGAGGCGGAAAGGAGAAGGAGAGAAGAAAAAAAAAGTGTTGGTCTCACTGTTGCTCTCGAAAGCCACGCGAGCCTGGTCGTGGTTGTCGCTCGACCTGTCACTCGTTCGACTCGCCATAGAAGGAGGGGGGAAGGGCATGCCGCTCTTTACGCCGACGTGCATACGGAGCCATGGGAGGTGCATGCAGCCGATGCGCTGGATCGCCATTGCATCGGGAGCGGGCGATGGGGAGGTGCAGCGCAAGGATGCAATCAACAGCGGTAACTTGACTCGGTGGGATCGACATGGCAGGGTCCAGCGGCATTCAATCCCACGCCTTCGGCAAGGGCGGCCCCTTGCGTTGTGCCCTCATGCTTTCCCACGTCGAGCAGCGGGCGGCACCGACCTGGGAGGGATCGACGGCATGCATCTCGAGCTTGCTTGTTCGGGCGGTACACACAGCGCTGCGCCAATCCTTGGAGAGTGACATGGCTCGTTCTATGGGACGCTGCACCTCGACGCCCATCCTGCTCGCTTAGCCCGGCCACGCGCGCATCCAACGCCCAAATGTGCTGCTGCTTCGACGCCTTCGGCTAACGCTTGCCGTCATCAACAACGACGATGGCGAAAATACGAGGATGTTAAATCGGGGGGCGGGGGGCAGGGAGTTGATGTGGGCCTAACAACGCCAAATTAATTCCAGCGGACTGTGACTGCGCAAAGACCACCTTCGCTTCCACCACTTGCAGCTGCCACCCAACTCAGCATAGACGATCAAGATCTTGTCTCCCTGCATCGAAGGCCTTCGATTGGTATCCAGGATCAAACAGAATCGACCATAGAGCGCTTTCGACTCAACCGCGCTCTGCACCAACGGCTGCAAGAACGCCGCGCAGACATGCGATCATGAACCACAACCACCTCACATCTGCACGCTAAACCTTGCCAAGGTCGAGTCGCCGCCCGCCATGGTCGCGCGTCCACGCCGTCCGCTCGTCTCGCTCGAAGCGCAGCTGCAGCAGCTCACGCTCTTCTCCGACCTCGATGCCGATCAAGAGAACCTGGAGCAGCTCGGCCCCATCATCAAGTCGCTCGACGAGGCGCGCCAGCAGGATGCCTTCCTGCGCCACCTCAAGAACTTTGTGCGCGAAAAGGACTCGGAGATCGAAGCCGTCTGCGACGCCAACCACTCCGAATTCGTCGCAGCCGTAGACAAGCTGCTCAAGGTGCGCTCGGGCACCGTGACGCTCAAGCACCGCATCGGCGAACTCAACGAAGACGTCCAAGCCGGAGGCACCTCGCTGGGCAACAAGAAGCGGCAGCTGCTCGAAACGCAACGCACCGCAGCAAACGTCAATGAGGCCATCGGATCGCTGCACACCTGTCTGCGCGTGCTCGACCTGGCGAACCGCGTCGACGGCCTGATTGGGGAGAAGAAATACTTTGCCGCGCTGCGCAGTCTGCAGGAGCTCGAGTCGGTGCATCTGCGCGCGGTGCTGCATCACGAGTTTGCAAAGCATATGATGGACTCGATCCCACAGATGCGCAACCAGGTCAAGGCCGCCGTGACGCGCGAGATGAAGGAGTGGCTCTTTGAGGCGCGCGAAAAGTCGCGCACCGTCGGCAAGCTCGCGCTCGAGGCCATCGAGACGCGCCAGAAGCGATGGCGCGTAAAGGCGCAGCGCGATCCGCTGCTGCGCCTCGCCAAGCTCAACTCGGCCATCGAGCTCGTCGCCAACGAACGCACCGAGCACAACTTTGTCGACAACGACACGGTCTCGATCGATTTCCGGCCGCTGTACCAGTGCATCCACATCTACGATGCGCTCGACCTGCGCGAGGAGCTCCAGACGTCGTATCAGGAGGACCGGCGGGCGCAGGCGAATCTGCTGCTCAACCAGGGGCTTTCCTTCGATGCCTCCAATCCGGCGGTGCCGCCGCTGCTCGAGGAGATGGTCGGATTCTTCCTCGTCGAGCACCACGTCATCCAGACCACACCCGCCGGCTTCCGCGCCGAGGCCGAGGTGGATGATCTGTGGGACAGCATGTGCAGCCGCGTCGTCGACATCGTCTCGCTCGCCCTGCGCGACTGCAGCGAGACCAAGGTGTACGTCGCCGCCAAGGCGGCCATCCAGACATTCATCCAGACCCTCGAGGGCTACTCGTTCCCCGTTGCCAAGCTCAACGCGCTGCTGCTCACCCTGTTCGAGCGCTATGCCCAGCTGCTGCGCGACCGCTTCAGCCGCGACTTTCAGCAGGCCATGCGCGAGACACAGCACCAGCCCATGGTGGTGCACAACACCGACGAGCTCAACAAGGTGCTCTCCGTCTGCTGGCTCAAGCCGGGCGACGAGGCTCAGCTGCGCGCATCCACGTTCCCGCTCTCGCTACCCTTCTCGCAGACGTATCCGCTGTGCTGCATGGATATGCGCAATCTCGTGGACCAGTACTACGTCTTTTCCGACGGCTTCAGCTTTAGCCAGAACCACAGGGAGATCGACGAGATTCTCAAAAAGAGCCTCGACGAGCTGCTCATCCAGCAGGTCTCGACGGGCATCCGGCGCTCGCTCGACAATACCGCCGCGATCAATCTGTCGCAGATCGCACAGATCGTCGTCAACGCCGAGCACTTTAACCTGGCATGCCAGGAGCTCGAAAGCCTTCTTGCGGCGCTGCGTGCACCGCATGGAAGAGGAGGCAAGTTGCAGCTCGATGCCAGCAGTCACTTTGTCGCCACACTGCGCATTGCCGAGTCCAAGATCAACGCCGCCTTCGCCGCCAAGTTGGACCAATTCTTGGGGATTGCAGAGTACGACTTTGCGCCTGCCAAGACGGGGCCGAGGGTGGTTTCGGCGTGGTTGGAGGATACGGTGGAGTGGCTGCGCACCATGATGGAGTCGGTACTCGTTCTGCTGCCCAGTACAGTCAAGGCGAAAGTGTACGCGGCAGCGTATGCGCATCTTGCGAGCAGTCTGCTGGATAAGCAGTTGCTGGGTCCTGATTCGGCGGCAGCGGTGAATGCAGCTGGGCTGGAAGTGCTTCAGACGGACGTGGATTTCTTGGTTCGTAATGCGGCCGAAGTGCAGACGGACGAATCGTGTTTCCGCCCCATCGTACAGACGCTGGCGGTGGTGCGCAACGATAAAGTGGGCGAGTACGTCACCATGCTTCAGAGCGGCAAGCAACCGGGGGGTACATGGACGTATGCGGCGGTTGATCCGCGCAAGTTGCTCAACCTGCTCGACCGCATGTACCGCACCCACTCTCGTCATCCCACCGAAGCCGACCTTGCTGCCAAACGTCTGCGCGACAAAGATTCTCTCATCCGGGTGCTCAACTCTCCCGCCTTTCGACGCTAAGCCCGCACTTTTGCAAATGCAATCATCATTACGATCAACCGCTTGACTCTGAGTGGCGTGTGCGGGGGGTTTTTAGATGAATCGCCACTGGATGTTGGGTAGGACGCCCTTATCCTTATCATCGAGCTTGGCGAAGAGCGTCGGGCTGAGGTCTAGACTGGTCGGTTCGCACCCGGGACATTCGTCCATGGCAAATGCATGCGTCGTCTTGCCGTTCCAGCTGATTTCGATGCGTCGTCCGCACAGCGAGTTGTGGTTGGGGTTGCCAGATGCCGGATTGTACTGCTCGAACACGTCGCGCGAGACCGCAACGATAGGATCACTGTCAGCATTCACAATGCCACAGGCGCCCATGCCCGTGTCGTAGAACGTCGCGTGACCCGTAAAGGGAGCCGAGGTGTACAGCGACTTGACCGAGGGCGAAGACGAGGTGGAGAACGAAGGCGGAGTATAGCCGTCAATGGCACCAAGGGAAGTGTCGTCGCTGGATGAGTGGTGTTCAGAGTGGTGCTCCGAGTGTGTCTCGGAGTGCTCCGAGGAGTCGTCCGAGGAGTGGTGTTCTTCGTGGTGCGTCATCGACGGCTGTTCGGCGGCGGGAGCACCCTCGTCGCAGTCGTCTTGCTGCTGGCCTTGGGGCTGGGCGGGCTGCTGGGGCTGCTGAGCCGCCTGCTGCTGTTGCTGTTGCTGTTGCTGGGCCTGCTGCTGTGGCTTGGGCCACTGCGACTGCTCCTTGGGTTGCTCCTTGGGCTGTCCGTCCTGCTTCTTGGGCTGTTCGGGCTGTTGCTGGGGCTTCCACTGCTCGCCTTGGTTCTTGTTACCGTCCAGCCCGTGGAGGTAAATCTCGAGGCTCTGTTGGTCGCCGTACTGGACATAGTGCTGGAGTGCCGCTTCGAGGGCATGCACCTGGTCCTCGAGCTGGTCATGCTGGGACCTAGCCAGGTTGCGCGCATGCACCACATGGGCACGGTGCATCTTGTACGTGGGCAGGGCGGCGACCTGCACCGTGAGGCCCGACGAGAGCACGAGCAGTCCAGCTGCAACGGTGCCCAGCACCACAGCGCGCTTGAGCAAAGCAAAAGTCATCTTGTAGGTCTAAAGGAAAGATGGAGCTGAGAAACGATGACCTGCCAAAGACGGAGAATGAGGGTAAGAGCGGGTCTCTTTTATAAACAAGGAGCCGGTGCGGGATGTGCGGAAAGACGTACCCGACAACAGTACTGTTGCGGAACGACGATCGCTGTCAGCGTCGAAACGGGGTTGTCACAACCTCCGCCGTAGCATGCAGACAAACGTACTCGCCGACTTCGGACGGCAGCTTACCTGTAGTTCGGCGCTGAATCCAGCCAGCAACACAAGCTTGAATCTACCAGAGTTGCAGAACAAGGTTCGAGGGTCTACTCCCCCAAACCTTTTATACCTCTTCAACAGCCCCCCAGCGCCCCCCGTGCTAAAGCGGCAGCAACAAAGGGCTCCAACCAACAGCCGTCGGAACAAATGCGAAATCACCATGCATCGTGCCGAAACCTTCATCTGGCCCCACCAACTCTGCACCGAGCTTAACCCGCATCCGTGGGAAAATCACTCCCGACCGACCTTTGTTCTCCCCCAAAACCCCACATCCACGCACAGCACAGCACAGCAAACGACACTCGAGAACCGCATGAAGGGACTGCTATGCACAATATTGCTACTCTAGTCGTTCAGGCAAACACCCAGCCTTGCTGCGCTTCGGCCCAGTCAGCCAGCTCGGCGCTGAGGTTGACCTGCTGGAAGCGGATCCTGGCCTCGGCGGCGTCCTCGGCACTGGTGGGCAGACGCACGCCAAAGCCGTCGCCGCCGACGCGCGTCTCGTAGCACTTGAAGCCGGCATCGCTGAGCTCGCCCACAAGCTCGCGAACCTTGTCTTGCTCAAACGCATCCGGCAGCAGCGTCACGGCACAACCGCCGCCACCGGCGCCCGTGAGCTTGGTGGCAAGCTCGCCGGCACCAAACGCTTCGGTCTTGTTCTTGATCAGCTCGAGCGCCGGATGCGACACCTCGAGCGCCACAAGCTCGGCGTGGTTGAGCGTGATGAGCTTGCGCAGCTGCGCGACCTGGTCCGCGCGGCTCGCGCCCGATCGGCCGCTCAGCAGCTGCTGCGCCGAGTCCGCGATCGTCTGGATGCGCGCCAGCGCCGCATCGACGCGCGCCGGCTCGGCCTCCTTCTGCGCCGCAACGTGCGCGATGAGCTTCTTGCCCTCACGGCCCACGCAGCTGTCGACGAGCAGGAAGCGGAACGACGAAAAGCCCTTGAGCTTCTCCATCTTGTTGGCGCGCAGCGTGTTGCTCGGGTGGGCGCGCGTAAAGGCAATCGCACCACCGTGCACGGCAACCGAGTTGTCGACGCCGGACGGCGTGCCGTGGATCACCTTTTCGGACAGGAACGCCCACTGGTTCACGTACGCCGAGTGGTCAGCGGACACCTCGCTGGCGCCCGGAGCGGGGGCGGGGATGCGGCCGTAAAGCATGTTGAGCGCAGCGGCCAGGCACGAGCTCAGCGCGGCGCTCGAGCCGAGACCCGCGCCGATGGGCAGCGCCGAGCGCAGCACAAACGCCTGCGCACGAGCATCGGCGCGACGCGCCACGATGCACAGGTACAGCACCAGGAACGCAATCGAAGCAGCGTGGCTCCTCTCGCTCTCGTTGACCGTGTCGCCCACCACCTTTTCGATGGCGCTGACCAGACCGGCGTCGAGCGCGTCGGGCACCGCACCGCCTGCCTGGATCGACTCGGGCACCGCTGCCCACGGCAGCTCGTCGAGGCTCCACGTGTGTACCACGCCGAGGTCCGGCAGATCCAGCGAGATCTTGGCGTCCTCGCGCGGCGAGACGCTGGCGTAGCATCGCAGCGCCACGGAGCCGGCGATGGCGGTGACGCCGTGCACCACGGCGTGCTCACCGAACAGGATCACCTTGCCCGGCGCGCTCACGACGAGCGAGGTAGGCGGCGGCGGATGGTCCTGAGCGAGGCGAGGTTCCCCCTCACCGCCGCGCGTCTCGAGCTTGGCGCGGTTCATGTCGTCGACCAGGCTGCCCACCTTGTCGTGCTGCGCAGCGGTGTCGGTATGCAAAGGCGTGCGTTCGTAGGCGATGAGATCTGGCGAGGCTGCGCGAGAGCTGTCGGTGGTGGCCGACCCAAGCTGGGCGGCACGGTTGGACGGCTTGCGACGGATGGCGCCGGCCTGGAGCAGCGCGTTCTCGAGGTCCTCAAGCAGATCGCGCTCATCCTCGATACCGACGCAGAGGCGGATGAGGTCTTCGGGCATGCCACGCGCAGCGCGCACCTTGGGGTCGATGGAAGCGTGCGACATGAGGCACGGCATGGAGATGAGACTGTTGACGCAGCCAAACGAGACCGAGATGCCCCAGAGTCGCGTGGCGCCCACGATGCGTTCCGAGAGCGCCTTGTCGCCCGTGGTAAAGCTGAGCACCGAGCCGGGGCCGGCGGCCTGCTTGTCGTGCACCGCCTTGGACGGGTGCGACGCGAGGCCGGGATAGTTGACCCTGAAGCCGAGCGAGTCGAGGTAGTGGGCGACGGTGATGGCGGAAGCCTGCTGGCGATCCATGCGCACGGCGAGCGTCTTGATACCGCGGAGGAGCAGGAACGAGTCCATGGGCGTGAGCGCGTTTCCGATCGAGTTGATGGTGAAGGCGATCTGCTTTCCGAGGTCGTCACGGTCGCAGGCGATCACTCCGGCCATGAGGTCGTGGTGGCCCGAGAGGTACTTGGTGCCCGAATCATAGACGACGTCGACGCCGAGCTCGAGGGGCCTCATGAGGTAGGGGGACATCATGGTGTTGTCTACGACGACAACAGCGTCGGGCGCCCACTTCTTGGCGGCGGCAGCGCAGCGCTGGAGGTCGCAGATCTTGAGGCACGGGTTGGTGGGGGTCTCGAGGAGGACCATGCTGACCTTGCCGCAGCGGCCGGCGGCGGCGTCGGCGGCACGTTTCTGGAGCATCTCCTCGACCTTGGAGGCGTCGGTGGTGTCTACGTGGTCGGTGTGGATGTTCTGGTGTGAGGCGAGGTATCCGAGCAGACGGTTGGTACCACCGTAGAGATCGTCGCCGGCGATGATGCGCTCACCGGCCTTGACGATACGGGTGATGACGTCGAGGCAGGCCATGCCGCTGGATACAGCGAAGCTGTACTTGCAGTTCTGGAGCTGACAGAGGTGGTGCTGGAGCATGGAGCGCGTAGGGTTGCCGGAGCGCGAGTAGTCGAACTCGGCGCCGGGGAGGCCCTTGAAGGTGGCGGACATGTAGATGGGCGTGGAGGAGGAGCCGTACTGGTCCTTGTGGTTGGGGTCATCTACGGTTGCGCACTGGGTGGCGAAGCGGTAGCCGTTGGGCCCACGGCGATCCTTGTGCGAGACGAAGGGGAGCTTGATGTCATCGTCGCCGAGGTCCGATGGCTCGGGGGAGGTCGGGATGGATGAGTCGAGCGAGGCGACGGAGGAGGCGACGTCAGTGTTGAAGGGGGTGACGGTGGAAGCCTGGGAGGAGGCGACGCTGTAAGCGTCACGATGGGCCGACATGCTGAGTATCAGACCCGACGAGACGGCGAGTGATCGGGGAAATGCCGACAGGAGAGGATGGGCAGATGGTGGTGCTGGCGGAATGCGACGTGCACGCCCGGGGCGTAGGGAAGGGAGCCGATAGGTAGCTGTTCTTCACAGCAAGAAGGCCGCTACTTTTGATGTGGTCTAAGGAACAGTGCGGTGTCCGAGTGGCGAGTAGAGGACTGTGAATGAAGAGAAGAAGTGTGATGCACCAAGTATGGTGCTGTGCGAGAGTGTCGAGTGTGTGTCGGCAGTGCCGCGTGTGAGCGGTGGGTGGGTGCCTTGCGGACGAGTCACTTTCGCCCGGGCGACAGAGCGAGAGCGAGCCAGACGGGGCGTTTGAGTGGCACCCTGGCTGAGTGGAATTGCCCTCCTCGGCGAGTGCAGGGCACACGCGGCATTGCGTGCTCGCCCGCCCGCCTCGAAAGGAAGATTTCTCTCAATTTCGACTTTGCCCGTCAGCAGCAGCAGCAGCAGCAGCACCACCACACACTGCGCCACGGCGTGAACTGCCGCTTCGCACCCGCTCCGCTCCACAAGGCAGCGTCTTCGGAAGTCGGGACCCTGGCCTTGCTCTCTTTCCACAAATTTGGGCCTCACCCTCCCTCCCACCCGCTCGAGTCTTCCACCCTTCTACTGACGAGCGGGTCGTCCGACGAGCTCATCGGTCCGGTCACACACTTTTCGCACGCACCACAATGGCATCGATACCCACCGGACCTGCCGCCGACCGGCGCGCCGACAGCCGACGACTCGCCGACTTTGCCGCCAAGGCAGCCGAGACGTTCGTGTCGGCCTACTACGCGGCGTCGGATTCGCCGCAGCGCACCAACCTCGTACCCACGCTCTACCTGCCCAACTCGTCGATCGTTTGGAACGGCACACCCGTCAGCGGGCAGCAGGAGCTGCAGGCCATGCTCAACAGCATGCCGGGCAGCAAGCACGAAGTGCATACGTTCGACTGCCACGCGCTAGGAGGCGCCGTGGATGGAGGTAAGTCTTGCTCCCTTCTTCGCCCCAAACACACACGCCTCTTTCTCAGGGATGGTACCGCCATAGCTGGACAGGCGCCTGCGCAAGTGCATCCGCTTGTCCGCTGCCCACTTTGGTTGGTATGCATCGAGACACTGCGCGTGCTTTCACGCACTAGCGGAGGCAAGATCAAGCACAGTCCCGCGCACACACTGCGCTCTTGGTCGCAGCTTGCATGCGCGGGGACGCTTTTCATAAGGGTTCGATACCTTTGCACAAGGTCCACTGTCGTATCGAGTAGTATATGAAGCAAACATTGTCTGACGCACGATCTTTGTACAGGCAACTTTACGGCTCCGTCGGTGATGCTGACCGTATCGGGGACGGTGTCGCACCACACGCCCGAGTCTGCATCTGCGCTGGCGACGACCGCACCCAAGTCGGCGACGGCTTCGACGCACGGTGCCAATCGCAACCGCGGCAACTTTGATCCGGACGCGCCCGTGGCGTCGCATCCGCGTGCGTTTTCGCACAACTTTGTGCTCGTCGATGCGACCAACATCGCGCAGGTCGTCCAGACGGGCGAGGGAGGCGTGGCGGTTTCGATGACGACGGGCAAGGATGCACAGATCACGCTGAGCGCAAAGTACTACGTGCAGGCGGATAGCTTTCGCTTCGTCGGGTAGGCCCACGCTGCAATACAACACACAAATGCACGCATCCGACAGACACGGAGAGAGAGCGTGTGGGAGGAGACGAGAGTCGATTGCAAGAGGGGAAACAGAGTGCGAAGAGACGAGGGGGGTATACTGGATCTGGGAGGGTTAAAAGTCGGTGCTGTTGAAGTGGGTCGAGAAGTCGTATTCGAGTTTGGAGTCGGGCATGTCTGTGTCCTGGATCGCGAACGGCTGTGTTGAGCTGTGCGATCTGGTCCATGATGTTTGAGGTGGATCTCCGAGGGACGAATTGGACGAGGCGGTTGAGGCGAAAGAGAGAGCTGGCATGGCTGCGATTCTGCGGTCAAAGTTGCTTTCCGTGCGTTCTGGTTCCTCGTCTGAATCGTCTCGACTTCGTTTAGCTCCTTGTGTGACATTGTGAGTGTCCGTATGGGAGCGAAGTGATTTGAGAGTGTCAAAGTCCTTTGAGGCGGGAGCGCTTTGGACCCTGCTCCATGCACGTCTTGTATTGGTTACATTCGACAGGATCTGTCCTTCGGACGAGCCAAACGGATCGAGCGAGGTGGTGGTGCGGTTGTAGCCCTGATTCACCCGTGCACGGATACGGTAGCCCAGATTCTGCAACTTGCTATGCGTCTCTTCATCCACTCGACCCGCACGCACCGTATTCGAGTTGGTCGAGCCACAAACTGCATCTTCTCCGAGCGGTTGTGCCGAAGTCGAAGCTCGCGCGTGCTCCGACAGTGCAAACGCCGTAGGCCGATCTCCAAAGTGCTTCTTGAACGTGCGCTCGTAGTCCGTCCCCGCACCACCAGCCGTAATCGGAATACCCGTCATCTTTGCCGTGTGATATAGTCAGTAGCAGAGAGAGAAGAGTGATGCGTGTGCAAACGCTCAGGGGTTGCGCGGTCGAATGGTGGGGTTGAGGTGATCTTCCAAGATCCAACTGTGACTGTAGCATGGAGCGCGCCGACTGCATGCAATCCACGCGAGCGAGTAATGAAATTCTACGCCCGCGTCGCCCAAGACGCGTCCGGCGCCATTTACGCGTCGGCCACCCCAGTCTCACCCCCGCTTTTCTCGGCCCAGAAATCCACCCCTCATACTCCCCCTCACCGTCGCACCAGCTTAGCCAGCTTAGCCCACCCATCGACATGTCCAGCAAGCCTAAAATGCATTTGGGTTCGGATTACGCAACGAAGCACAGTGACAAGACTAGCACGAGAAACGAAAGTAAGAAAAGGCGGGCCGTGTATGGACCTTCGACGATGCCTCACAAGGCCCGGCGGAAAGCAGAGCCAGACCAAAAGACAATCTAGGAAGAAAGGAAGAGAGATCCAGTCTACGCCGACTTGGCAAAGTAGTCGACCACGACGGGAGGGCGGTAGTCGTCCGAGGGAAGTGCGTCCATCTTGGGGTAGTACTTTTCGCCTTTCTGCACAAAGAAGCGCGGCGACCAGGTGGCGCCCGACTCCTCGCGCTCCTTTGCGAGCGCACGCTGCTTCTCCTCGATGGCGCTCTTGCTCTCGGTGGCCTTGTCGAGGTTCTTCTCCTTGATGCCCTCGGTGACCTTGCTCCACAACCTGCGCGACTCGTTGGCCTCCTGCTGGTCCTCGGGGATCACCTCCTTCTGCACGATGGTCGCCTTGTGCGCATCAAACAGCTCCTCCACCTTGCCCGAGCTCGAGTCCTTGTAGTCCATCGAGTCGCTCCACTTGCCCGTGATCTCGCCGACGGCCTTGTGGCCCTTGGTGACCTTGCCGCCGATGGCGTTGTAGGTGCCGGTGAAGTAGCCCTTGGTCTTGAACTCGACGTCGCAACTGAGGTCGTTGGCCTCGTTGCGGATCTTGCTCGTGTCGCCGAGCTCGAGCACCATGCGGCCAAAGAGGATGCCTCGCGCATACATGTTGGGCATCGAGATCGCGTACTCGCCGTCCTCCTGGCGGTCGAGCAGCACGACGCGATTCTCGCCGCCCATGATGGTGGCGGCCGAGTTGCCGAGGAACTTGGACTTGGGCTTGAGCTCGCCGTAGAAGAGCAGGTTGTTCTCGGGCGACACGTAGTAGTAGGCGCTGATGGGCGGATGGTGCGAGACCTGCTCGGCAATGTAGTAGCCCTTGGTGCCGTCGGTGTAGTTGTAGGTGCAGCGGAAGAACTCGCCGAGGATGGGGTTGTAGGGCTTCTTGACGCCCTTGGGCTTGATGTGCCAGCCGGAAAGGTAGTAGCGCGTGACCTGGAGGAAGCGCTCCTCGGGCGAGTCGAGCTTGCCGGCGCCAAAGATGAGGTCGGGATGCGACATGAAGTCAGTGATGCGCTCGAGCATGGAGCGGGGCTCGAGCACAAAGGTGGGGAGCGTCACTTTGGAGAGGTCCATGCCTATGCGGAGCTGGCCGATGAGCGACATGAGGATGTTGCCGGACTCCTCGTCGAGCTCCTCGGTGTCGTCGGCGGAGGCGCCCTCGGGCGGGCGGTCTTCCTTGCTAGGCTTGATGTGCGACTTGGCACCCGACACGGCGCTGCCGACGTGATCGAGCAGGCCCATGATGGAAGACGAAGGATGTATATGCGACGGGGGTTGCGTGTGGATGGATGCGCTAGATGACTTTTTGGGCCGCGCTGTCGGGTGGATCACAGATCGTCGATTGTAAAGAAACGATGGCAGAAGCGTAGCGAGATGGGAATGCAGACCAAGCGTCCCACGGCAGATGACGGAATTCCTCGAGACAAGCTGATGGGGGATGCGATCGGCGCTCCGGCTTGCTGTGAAAGTGAGTAGCGCTTCCGACGAAGGGCGAGATGCGAGCTTTGCGTCGTGCAAGAAGAACGTGGGATGGTTCAAGATCCGGCTAGAGAAAGTCCAAAGGAAGTTGGCGTATTGCAAAACCGAACCAAGTGGAAAAGGGGTTTAGCGGCCGATGGAGGAGGACTAGTGTTCCCGAATCGTAGCAGCACGCGGAAGGGGCTGAAAGGGCAAAAAGCGGAGCTGGATGGATGGAGATGCAGGAGAGCGATATCGCCGAGGAGGGGCCAACTGGATGGTAGTGGTGGAGGATGGAGGCGACGCAGGCCGTGGGCATTCAACTGTCGTCAGAGCAGAGCGATGGCACGGGGCAAGTGCGGTCAGATGGATGCAGACGGCAGCACCGACGCAATTGCACACCCATTCCCATCCATTCACACACCCGCGCCAGTCCAGCCGCACTCAATCGCAGCTCAGCAGCCCGCCGCGACCCAAAAAAAACCTCGAAAAAGTGGAGCCCATAGGGGCGGTAAAATGACATGGATCCAAAATGGCAGCAGAGGCGGCAGCAGCGGAGGCAGGAGCGGAAAGCCGCGATTTCGAGCCGCAGCTGGAAAAGGCGATCCGGGCCCAAGAGAGTGGAGAGAGAGGGAGGTCGAGCGGAGCGAGCGAGGTCGGTATGCGAGCGTGAGCGGGCCATCCGCAGATGCACTTGGCTCGTGAGTGTGCTCGATTCATGCCAGACTGGTCGATTGCCCAGGGCTGTGTGCTGTTCGGCCACGAGCCGCCTCGTCTGAAAGGGAAAAAAGGGAAAAGGGAAAAAGGGAAAAAGGGAAAAAAGGGAAAAAGGGGGGTGGGGCGTGCATCGCTGGATGACGACGCGGTCAAGGCTGACTTGACTGACCTGGAAGGGGCAACTGTGAGCGACGGATTTTGTTTTTATTTTCTATTTTTTGAATTTTCTGAAAGGTGGAGCAGCCCCAACGATGTGAGAGCGAGCGAGAGGTGCAGCGCGTGGAAGGCTGCGTGGGGGCGCGATGACGAAATCGGGCGCTGGAAAAAGGGTGCCGACAGAGGCCGACATCGATGGATGAAAGCCGATCGGGATCGGCAGCGCAACGCCGGGCTCAGAATTAGACGCTGCTTCGGCAGTTTGGGTCCGAACTGTGCATCGGGAAGCTGGTCTGTTGCCATGGCTGACCTGGATCGACCTGCCAAGAGCTACTATTTCAGTACAAAGCAAGACACTGACGACGGCTCAGCGCAGGGGCGATTGCGGAGTGAGCGGAGAGGGTCTGGTGATGGGCCTGGTGGGCTACGAGTACGATCGATGCGATCGGCCCGCTCGGACGAGGCGGCGGGCTTGGCACGTCGATCGGAATTCCCGCAGCAGCAGAGCCAAAGCAGCAGAGCCTAGGCAAGGCTGGTCCGTTTGCCCAAGCCCATCTCCCTTGCACCACAACTCCAAGATTGACGATCAGCGACTGCCACTTGCCACTGTTGTTGGATGTCGCGTATTTGCGAGTGGGCTTGCGAATGCGTGTGCGGAGACAAAGATGGGTTGGTGGGGGTGGGGACCGTGCATGTGTGCGGCGAGGCACTGTGGGCGTGCGTGCTGGCGTGCTGGCGTGCAGGCGCGTGTGCATGCGATGCGGACTCGGTGTACCGTGAGTTGATTGTGCGATGCTTGTGCGGTGCTCGCGCTTGCTGGTGCGTGCTGGTGGCTTGCTGGCGGCGCTTGCTGGCGGGCGGGTGCAGGGTGAGCTAAGGCTGCGAGCGACGGCGAAGGGCTTGGCTTTGGGCCGCGCTTGCTCGCTTAGCTCGGCTGCCGAGCGCACGAAACCCTTTGTGGCCTGTCAGCCGCGCCGCGCGTTGGCCAATCCCCAAGCGGGCGCTCCCCAACCGATTCCCAGAAACAGAAGAGCATCTGCTCGCCTTTACCCTGCCTTTCAAGACCAAGACCAAGACCAACACTTTTTTCTTTATTTTTGGCAAACGCGCGGCCGCATCTCCAAGCCGAAAGCCCACGCTGCATGTTGGGCTGGCGAGAGCAGGCGACCAAGCGACCAGGTTAATTTCGAATCCTCGAATCCACTCGAAGCTCCCACCGATTGGCCTGCTTGGCGGGCGTACGTCGGGTGGGGGAAAGCGTAGAGAGAGAGAGAGGGGCAGTTGCCGCTGGGACGTCGGTGTTGCGCATGGAAAGAGGGTGCGACAAAAGCAGGAGGAAGGCGGGCACTGCATGGCCCCGTGTCTCTGCCCCCCCCCCTTCCCCTTTTTCCGCCGAAGTGAGCCCTCGTGTCATGCTGCCGGCTGGCCTCTTTTGGCAGTAGAGCAACGCAGAGAGTGCAGAGAGTTGGGACCAATGTCGCCGTGAGTCGAGAGAGTGGGGACAGGGCTGCGAGAGAGGCGGACGGGCGTGCATTTGCTTGCTGTGCTGTGCTGTGCTGTGCTGTGCT